ATAGGTCAGCCTTGAAGTGAACAGGCAACTCGAAATGATGGCTAGAGAACAGTGTAGCCATGTCGGATGCAGGGAAACGTCTGGTCATGCCAGTGAAGGAAGTGCTTAGATGGCACAGGGAATGATGACAGGACTGTAACACGTAGGCAACATCACGCCAATGCCTCCCACACGGAATAGTTACGGTTTCCACAAGAGTTACCGGGAGGCAATACCATAGGCTTAGAAATGCAGGTGCCAGTGCCATGACTACTGTAATAATCTGGTCATGGAAAACATAATGAAGGTTTTGGCCTACAGAACTGAGATGAACAGGAAAGGACAGATCAAAGATAAAGTTTATATGGACTGGGGACAAAGTAGTTGTAACAGTAGTAACAAAAAAGAGTCAAGACTGATTCTAAGTTTCTTGATTAAAATTTAGATATACAGCAATGTGTTAGCCAATATAAATGAGACCATCTGGAAAGTGATTCTTTTAAGGGGCTTTTGGTTATCTGTATAAAATTCCATATTGAAGTATACACGCCTGTTCAAGTCACCTATGCCTGTCATCTCTATAGTTACGTTAGTTAGGTCATCCAGATTTACAGATACATAGGTCAGATGGACAGGTAATCTTCAAACACTTCATAGACCTAGAGAATATGGCATTTAAATAACTTAGAATTCTGTTGACGTGAGACACAATTGCTCCTGGCTGCACCAATTTGATCCTGAGAGAATGTTGGGCTTCTAAGACATTTCCACTTGGAAGTTTGTCTTTTTGGCACAAAATGGCCTACTGGGCAAAGAACTACCCTTGCCCTGATGGCTGACAGTACAAATGCAATGCTGTCCTTTCTGGACAAGCGGGACACAAGGAAAGCGACCACTGTATTCTGTCAAGACAGGGTAAGATGGTCTTTCAGAATTCCTGCTTCTGAAAATGGTCTGTCAAATACTCTAGGCCTGTAGCCAATTTGAATGCACCAACAATGCTGAGAAACATTAGGTGACTGTCCAGGCTGCCAGCTGTCTTGCACCAGTAAAGATACTAAATATCCTGATACACAAGACCAATGGATTTTGAAAAGTTTTAACGAGATAAAACTAAAATATTTCTCAGGTGAGAAAGGGAGGTAGAGCTGTCAGACTTGGTAAGATGGCCAGAAACTGGATAGTCTTCTCCTCCGTGACGACAGGCACAGCCACAGGCAGCCTGGTGTACTACGTGTGTCAGTGCACACGAGACGGACCCGTGCTGCTGGTCTTGTGCGGCACGTTTGTGAGCTATTGTAACAGCTCTGCTTTGCTATTACAAGGCCTGAACTAATGGCAGTAAGTCTGGGCTATTAAATATTGTATCTCTTTCAGTCAGGAAGGGACATTCTTTAATAAGAAGCAAATATAAGCTGGGAGGGATGGCACACACCTTTAATCCCAGCACTCGGGAGGCAGAGGTAGGATCTTTGTGAGTTCAAGGCCAGCCTGCTCTACAGAGCAAGATCCAGGACAGGCCCCAAAACTACACAGGGAAACCCTGTCTCAAAAAACCAACAAACGACCACCCCCCCCCCAAAAAAAAAACCCAAACATGAGTAAGTGCCTTGCACTGCACTCAACTTTCCGACACAGGACAGTGCTGCAGGGTCAGAACTCCTCACTCAAAACCAAAGAGCAGGAAGCCGGAAAGTTCATGCCTAACAATGTACAGACTTGGAGGCTAAGAGAGAACGCAATTACCACAGGATGTCCCATGGACATCTATCTGGCTGTTCTGCCAACCTTAACTCTATTCCATTTCCTCCCGCCGTAGTCTCTAAGCTCCACACACACCTGTCCACATCCACACCCGCAGCCCCCCTCAGACTATCCCTATTCCAGACTTCGCAGAGGAAGAACCCGAGGCAGGACCTTATTAAGCCCTCAGCATCCTTCCCATTTCCTTCCGTTAAGACTCTCAACCCCTCCCACTCCACCCAGCAAGAAAACACGGACATCTAAGACACACACAAAATATCACCGTCTTTGTCATTAAGTATGTAATAAGCTAGGTCCTTCATAGCTTTTCCCCAACCCACACCATGAGATAATACAGACCTAAACTTGTTTCACATACCCATTATATCAAAGAACTCATCCAGAGCATTGTGCAAGGCTGGGAACTTGTCTCTGTGCTCTTCCAGCAGCCATATTAAACAGCGGGCTTCCTTCATGGACGCTGGCTCACAGAAATAATCCAGCTGCTTTCCTTCTATAGAACCCAGTTTATGGCCATATTTCTCATTCCAGAGGAAAGTCATAACGCTAAAATCGAGTTCCTTGAGAGATGCTCCATACCGAGTAAAAAACGGTCCTGTGGCATCTAAGCCTGCAACAGAACAAAGTCCAAATCACAGAAGCTGAAACTTCTTCAGCAAAATCCCCAACTATCACATCCTTTGAACAGTTCTATTTACAGTGTGCATACGTTTTCAGTGAAAATATGTAAATACTTGATAAATTAGTCAAAACTATTGTGCATTTCACAAACATGATTTAACACTGAGATGATAATTATAACAATTCTTTAGTAGTTGAGGAAGGTGAGCAAAACAGTTCTATTGTTAAAATATGATTGACACTAAGGTCCCTTAAAATCGTATCATTTTTCACTAATTCTTGACTTTCATTTCTAATTGAATTGCCAAGATTTTACAATGTTTTCCTGTATGTATTCCATACCAACAAGATGTCAGTAATACACAATCTTCCCAAATGCCTTGAAAAGAACTATTTGGGATAGACTCCTCTAACACTTCCAAGAGTTGCTTCTTATCTTCCAAAATACCAAGGCTTCTTCTCACCCTCTTCCTCCAACCCCGTATACTCCACATAAGTGACAAGGAAGCCCTCTCCTTACAATGCCTCCGAAGAGCAAAACAAAATTGGATCAACTTTCTTTCATACCTCATGGGCACCCTCATCATAGGCCTAGGGGTCAAGTCAACAAGAGACCATTCCCTTAAAATTATTCTGGTGGCTGATTCCTCTAGACAAAATACTTAGCTTATTGAAGTCATGTGATATGAGAAATCTGCATCTTTAAACACAAGAATCCATGGTGGCATAAACTATACCTTCAATAAAAGTTTCAGAAAACTGCCAGTGAGATGCACTCACACGCCCTGTCCAGTCTCTAATAGGGACAAATCGTGTGAATGTAAGCAGACAGTATCACTATGCAAAGCTCATTTTCTCACATTGCAATCTATGTCTTCCTCCATCCCTTTTTAACTGATCAAATAAATTGGCTTCTAAATTAAACATACACATGAGTGATTCCATTATATGGACTTTTGTGAAAAGGAAGTAAAATTCCATGAACTGGAAATTATTTCCTTTATTAAGCAAATATGTTTTTTACTTTATTAAGTAAATGTGTAAAGGTTAGAAGAGCTTAAGCTCACTTTAGAACGTAAAACTATGCATACATACTTACTGTCTTCAGAATAAACTCGGACTACATCAAAAGAACTTGGATTCTCCTGCTGGTGAGGACTGCAAGCCTCAAATGATGCATTTACAACCAAGAATAGTGGTTGCTCCTCCAGCCTCTGTAGCATAACCCAGATCGGACTACTTCTTCAACTCTTGAGTCTATCCTCTATAGCAAATAATGTAAGCAGTGACTTCTTAATTTGCTTATCGGTTCGACGCCAGTGACAACCTTAGCATTTAGGAGTAATTTTCTGGGACCTGAAACCAATGAGACCTAAGCAGACCTAGGTGTTTAGCTTTACAGCCCAGACGTTACGTCATTAGGTCTTTGTCAGAGGCCACGCGGGCCGCATCCCTGGACCTATTTGAGAGGCACTGTTTTCTTTTGAGGGTCCCTTCCTAGTCTTTATCAACAGCTGCTGACTGATCATGTACTGTGCCTGACCAGTCACCGTCCTAGACATCATCCTAACCCTGCCTTCCTAAGGCCAAGAGCACCCTCACCTGGTGTCAAGCAACCATGGCCTCTACAATTCTGGCCTGCAATGAGGGAGGTTTCCTCTCCTTTCCTTCTCTCAGTCAAAGCAGCCAATCAGAACAGAAGGAAAGCACTGTACAAACCTGCCATTCACAACAGGCAAGTACAGCCCCCCAATTTCTTGGTAATTAACAACACCTACTGGTTCTTTTAAACTTTTTTTCATGGAATCTGAATTTTCCATTTCTGTTTCTCAGCAAAGCAGACTGCACAGTACATCTGCACACATTACAACCACTGTACTGACAGACTGCACAGTACACTTGCACACATTTCGATCTACTTCTGACTTGGTTTACACATTCACAAATAGCTTACCTAATTAAGCCTGCCTTTCCTATTCTCATCTTTTGAAAGAGTATATTAACACCTGTTTACAGTATAACCTAAAAACACCTGTGTGGGGAGAGAATCTTTAACCATATAAAAATGCAGTCATGCATTTAAAACATCAAAAGTAATAAGACAATAAAGTAAAAAGGGGTCTTAGGCCTGCATTTACTCTTCCTTCTAAACAACAGCACTCTAGAATTTAAAGGTACATACCAAAACTATTAAGTCTCTGGATCCAGGGAGCCAACTTGGGGTCTACCTCTTTCAGCTCGCTCAAAACATGCAGAAATATCCGAGTCTTTACTCTGTTCTTTTCTTGAACCAAGTGACGGATAACATAGTCTACTGCTTCACGGAGAAAATTCTTGCTAGAAAAACATGTTGTGTAGTCTTCTGTGCTCAGAACCTTCCAAGACAGCAGCTCTTTGAGGAGCGTCGAAGTATTCAATATACCCGATTTTATCTTGTCTGAATTCTGCTTTATGCATTGCAGGATTCTATCATCGAGAAACTGACAACTCTGACCACTGTCTACAGTTTCTAGGGAAAACAAAGGTAAGGGGTTAAGTAGGACTAATTTGCAATTATACAAACTTGCAAGAAGATAATGTAGCATGCACAGTAACATAAGGCACAGCTGACTTCTGGGGTTTGTTGTTGTCTCTACAGGAGAGATGGTGAATGCAGTCCCCACTACCACAGATTATGCAGCCAGTTTTCGCGCATTTGGGGAAATCAGAGGGATGAGCACATCCGGAGGGCAATGGATCAGCCTTGCCCTGGAAAAACCAACTTTGTGATTCTGGTGTCTCCCTGGCCTGGTAAGGTCTGATTTGTTACTGACATGAACAACTCAGGAAACTTTATATTTGGTATACACGTATTTAATAGTATCTCTGAAAAGGCAGCAGAGTTCAATTAAGCCAAAAAATGAGGAGAAAAAAAAAAGGCTACTTGGGAGGCTGAGGCAGGAGGACCAAAAGTTCAAGGCTCACTCTGCCTGTAAGTTCTGCATCAGCAGCCAACGCCAACCTGAGCAACTGAGTGAAGTAGCCTCAAATCAAGACTAAGCAGAGGGCTGGGCTGAGCCATGTTCACTGCACTTGCCAGGTACCTGGGTTCAATCCACACACTCCAGATTCCAGAGCAAATACTTGATGATCTTCTTTTCATATCACTTATGTAACAGCATTTAAAATCTTATTTCCTCTAAAATAAGCTTTCTTCTCTAATATTCTAACCTAGCTTGGCCAATAAACTTTAGATGTAATGTGTTTAGTACAGAAGAAGCAAACAAAATTAATATATTGCTGAAAATATTCAGTATGATAATTTTGATTTATTTACTTTTGAGGCATTTTCCAAATACTAGGCAGATGAAAACTCAAACAGCAAATGGAAAATATCTCATCTGAGGAATATACAATAGAAAATGGGGGGGGCCGGGCGTTGGTGGCGCACGCCTTTAATCCCAGCACTCGGGAGGCAGAGCCAGGCGGATCTCTGTGAGTTCGAGGCCAGCCTGGGCTACCAAGTGAGCTCCAGGAAAGGCGCAAAGCTACACAGAGAAACCCTGTCTCGAAAAACCAAAAAAAAAAAAAAAAAAAAAAAAAAAAAAAAAAAAAAAAAAAGAAAATGGGGAAACGCTATTTCAACTCAAAACTGAAAATAAGTATGTGAGCTATTCCCAGGACCAGGAAAATTACCTGTGGGACCTTCCTGTGCTGCTCAGTAATGAGAATCAACTGAAAGGGCAAACTGCCGAACTGACTGCAGAGCTGACTCTCAGAACTCAACATTATTCCGGACAATTACTAACTTCGTTCAGGACGCTGGACCTGGACCCACTGAGCACAACCCACAGTGCCCTGTCACACGTGGTAAGCAGCAGCTCAGGGACGCCGCCATCACCAGAGAAGTGGTCTGCTCAGAGCCAGCGCCCCGGGGTTTCGCTCTAGAGTAAGTTTGCTCCACACCAGCCTACTTATCCCAGAGTAACAGCGGGCTGCACTTGGTTTTGGGTCTGCTTTTTTGAAGCAGTCTTGCTATGTATTCCAAGCTGCCCTCAAAGCCATGGTAATGCGCCTGCCTTAGCTTCCTGAATCCCAGGACTGCAGGTACGATCCACCATTTGGCTAGTAGAGCGCAGTATTAAGATACTAACAAAAATCTGGTTTGGGATATTAACTCTAACTAAAATCGATATTCGATTCAGTAAAAATTAGTATGAAGACATATAAAATGGGAATTCGTATTTGTACTTTGAGACAGGTACACACGATTTTCACAACTTGCACTTCTGAATACCTTCTGGCTCTTCATTTTTGGGTGGATTGCTTTCTCTTAAGTCCTCTTCCATTCGTTCTTGTGCTAATTTTTTGGCCTCTTGTTTTTGGATCTTTCTCTTCAATTTTTTGTCTTCTTTCAGTCTTAACTTCTCTAGGCTGATAGACATTTGCAGTCAGTGACAATTTACCTTTGTTATGAACTCAGTGAGCTATTTTCCTGTCTGGTATAGAAACATTCTCCAACCAATAGGTTTTTTAAAATTAGAACCTGTCCTACAATTTCTGTTCAACACAAAAACTACTGACCTACAACATCAATTCAGTCAAAATAAGGAAGTTACTTTATGAAAACAAGCATGTCAACAAGTAAGTGATCTATCTAAGGATGCAACAAATGGAACCACATGGATGGGATGCTACGTCTAGGTATACAACAACTGAGTAGTCAGTACAGAAGGAAAGAGAAGTCCGCAAGATCACATGTGTAACTTCTCATTTCAAAGCCCCATCGCATAATAAACCAATAATGCCCTACAACATGATAATTTTGTTGATGTGGTTACAGTGGAATATTTCCAACAAATAATTGTATCCATCTTTTCTTTTGTTTTTCTTGGTCACAAATGACATAAATAAAAGAGAGAAGAATCACTTTTTGGAATGAAAAACAAGAAGCGGGACCAGAAAGAAAAGAAAAAAGGATTGGAATTATTTAGTCTGAACAAAGATGCATAGAGATAAATAGTTCAGATAATACACTGAGAATTTCAAGGTAAGAACTAGCTATTGGTTGAAAATGTTTGCTGAATACATGAAATTTTTTTTTAAATGTTTTGGAATTAAAGCTAAAACAACCAAGAGTGAATTTATCATTTCTACCTAAGTGCCAAATCTGTTAACAAACATACATCACAATGTGAAATGTCATAATTTTACCCATAATCACTAATTATATTCATTCAAGTTTTTAGTATTTAACCATTCCAGGCTAGTTCTTTTTAGTTTTAAGTATGTATAAAAGTCAATTTCAATACTTATTTGTTTTGTGTACACAACTTGGATATAATTCTCTTCTACGAGACTACATCATCAACTACTGTTTGATGTCAAGTCTTACCTGGAGCACTTCTGTTTCAGGACAGGTTTAGAAGGAGCCTTCTCTTTGATGACCTTGTGTTCAAACTTTAAATAAAACAAAGATATCCAGAACTGTTCTCATACTGCCATGACACAGAGCACCACAAGTAACCAGTGTGTGGGAGCCCGTTCTGGGGTTCCTCGTGGCTTTACCCAGCAGGTCCGAATAGAGGATGATCAGGACCACGGGCCTGAGTGCAGGTGTCTGAGATGGCCTGCACTTGACTGTGCTGGGGGAGGAGTCTTTTGCTCCACCCCTTGGCGTTCCTATAAAAACCCTGGAGCAGAGACAGTCCGGGCCCGTTGGAATAGGTTCCAGGCCCTCTCGAGGCTATTCTGTATTTTCTATCTGTTTATCTCCACAAGATTCTCCGCAATAAATCTTTCTATCTAATATTTCCTGCTGCTCGCACTCAAGAAAACTCTGGGAAGCTGTGGGGGTGGTGGGTAAACGCCCCACAGAATGGTGCCATGAACAGGGACTAAAGAAAAAAGAAAAAAAGGGACTGAAGAAAAAAAGGGGGAACAAAAAAGAGGGGACTAAAGACAAATGAACAGGGACTTAAGACAAAGTAATAGGGACTAAAGATAAAGGAAAATAATAGTTTTATTACAGAGTTTTTGGTGAAAGTGCTGAGTCAGCCCTGCCAGTGGAAAGGCATGCCGGTGTTATGGAATATATATATTTTTATATATATTTTTTGGGAAGGCAGGGGTTTTATCCTCGAGAGAAAAGGAAAGCGGACTGGAAGGATGTCCGATGCTGCAGCGAAATTCTCTTCTGTCAATTTTCTATCTTCTATCCCTTTCTCAAATTCTATCTGTGATAAGTATAAGGTATAGGGTAGTAATATAGTGTAGGAAAAACTTAGAAGTGTAAGATTGTGTAGGAAAAAATAAGTAAGGCAACTAGACAGAAAAACTCGTCAATTTTCTAACTTTGGGGGCTTTGAAAGCAAACTGGGGAAAAAAATCTTTCTTTGGGCTTTTCGGGTAGTAAAAAAGCTCTTCTTTGAGCTTATGGGGAAGAAAAAGTTTCCTATGGAAGCTTTTGACCTGGGGACAGCTGACATGCCAAGTCCAAGCGGCAGGAGAAAGTAATTTCTCCCTGAGGCAAAAATGGGGGTGTAAGAAGTCAAAGTTTAAAGTTGGGAAGTTTTGGGAAAAGTTGGTCTTTCTCCTGGGGGGAAAAAATCTTTCTCTTAAACTCTAAAGCTTTTCTTGGAAAATTTGGGGGGGAAAATCTCTAAAAAGCCTTAATCTTTCTCAAGAGCTCTTAAACTTAAAAACTAAATTTGTCCTTCTGAGAGAGGACAAAAATTAGAATCACCTGAAGATATTAGTATGGGGACCACCTGTGATTAGCTCTAAGGGAAAACAACAAATTTAAGACAGCAAAACCTCTCTAAGTTTTCAAGCTTTAACAATCCTCCCTGCAATGCAGGAGGCTGGAACAAGTTTCTAAAAGCATCTTCTAAGCTCTGTCTCTTCAAGCTAGTAAAAGACAGTGGGTCAGACTACCCTGAGGGAAACGCTTGGGAGAGTGTGGGTAAAGAGCTACAGAGAGCCCAAAAGGGCAGGAAATTTTACCTGAGAAAAGCAAAAAGCCAAACTTCACAGTTACAGCCGAGCGGAGGCATCAAGGGTTTTGTCTGAGTGAGCCTTTCAGAATGAAAAGGTGCTCCTGATCTTCCTAATGCAAAGAATCCCCTGAAGCAATGCAAACTGTTAGCTTTGTACCCTAGCTTCTGACCAAAAACCCAGAGGCGACTGGTCAGCGTCTCTGAGTTGGAGTGCATTTCGGGGATACTAGGATTCCTGCAGTTGCAAACTTCCTGGAGCACAGAGCTGAGGCAGGAAGGTGCAGGACCCAGGGGAAAACTGCTAATAAACAAAGCTAAAGCCGGTGGGAACGGCACAGTTGTCTGCTTTCCTACAAGTCCTGGGTTGATAGGTCCACAGCTGCAAAAAGAACTCTGAGAAAAAGCTTTCCTATCAGAGAAAGGACCTTTCTGGGAAAACAGTAAAGCTGAACTGTGTCTGAAGCAGTCGTGCTGCCGAGTCAGAACGCTGTCTGGGGAAAGATCCCAGCCAGGGCAAAACAGAACTGTCCAGGAGTAAAGCTTGCTTTTCTGTCAGAGAAAGCACCTCTTTGAGAAAGCTTTGTTTCAACTGACATGACCTGACAAAGCTGCTAGAGTTTGAGGCAGATTCGGGGGGAGAAAAAGAAGCCCCTACCTCCAAAGGCAGCTAGCAGAGGAACAGAGCCGCAGACAGATAGCTGAAGCTCTGCATCTGGGGGGGAAGGAACAAGCAAAATGAGAAGATCAGTGGGAGAAAATCTCTGAAAGAGCAATGGAAAAGCTGTTGTAAATGATCTTGCTTTTCACTGACTGGCTAAGGC